AAAAAAAAATGGAAAAATTTGTAAAAGTTGAATTTTCAAGATAGAATGTGATATGAAAGGCAATTGTTAACTAAACTTTAATAGATAAGCAAGTAGTTGCTATCTATTGTACTGCAGGTGTGAGCATAATGATAGAGTCGGTAGAGTTCTAGATGTCATTATTCGACCCTCCATTCATAGCGGCGAGCATAGAGGGGAAGCGGACGGATCCTACATCTAATAAATTGAGATTTCTAATGCTTAAATTATTCTGAAAGATATGAGCAGATTACTACGTAAGAAGACCCCTCCCCTGTGGCTCGCACATGTTGTTAAGGAGAATATCACTCAACGGAGACTACTATGTTCTAAGTTTTGACGCTTCATTCAAAAGAAATTTCACGTCTATCATTCAAAATTTCATCCAACTTCTGAATAAATCTTCTTAAGACTTGTAAACACTCATAAGAATTGGTGGTTGGATCCTGAGAAAGTTGCAAAATTAGGTGGAGTTCCAGCGAGAGTTAGCCTATAGCTCTTTCATACCGCTTAGAGGGTGATAAATGTCCTCTTTTCAACAACTCTGCCTGATTTGAAGCGCATGCGTTTAGTAGTCAGTTTGGGATGAAACTTGACGGAACATTGTCTTTCACAAATTTCTGGTAGTTGCGGATCTCGGTTTACGCTGCGTAACTGCTCACCTGATTTGGTAGTTGGACGTGTGAGAGAAAATGGGTGTCCTCCACGTATCTTTTTCTCAGCCATTGGCCTATGTTGTACATCTTTTTGATTCCTTTCTATAAAGTAGGCTAAAAATGAAAAACAGACGAATGATATGATGAGAAAAGCATACATTTGTAAGTGCTCCAAATCCTCTCGGCCAGCTTGGCTCATCATTCAAATCGTTTGGGTACGGGATGTAACTTGGAGCTACATCCCCGTGCGTCCATAAGCCAGCGACAAACACAAGTTCAGTGTGCACAACGTGAGAAAGACCCAAGAAAATTAGCAACTTCATTAGCCACTGGAAATTCCTCGCTCAAATATTCCACATATATATATATATATA